TAATGCTAACGAACATACAGGAAAAATAGGATGCTATAAATATAAAAGGACATATTATCTTTACTGAATAATATTTCTCTAATATTCGTACAATGTGTTTGCTCAAAACTGTGGACCTTTACAATTTTTTTAGTTACTGTCTAATTTTATATACCTAATCTCAAAAAATAGAAAAAAAAATTGTTTAGTTTTCTCTTACCAGAATTGTTCAAATTCACAACAAGTGTATATCTTCTCTTGTATCTACATTTTCAATACTGTAAAAAAACCTTTTTTCATATTTTAAACTATACAGGCTGTTCTATTTAAACAAACCAGTTTAATCAGATGTGACCTTATTTATGACCATTTTAATTTTGCTAAAGTTGATTATAAATAGTGTGTGACAGAGAGAAATTCTGTTTTATTTTACCACGACTAAACTTATTGTTTTCTTCAATTAAAAATTTATTATACTTAAAGCTTCCAATGACTCACAGGATGGTTTTGTGTTAATTCTTTTTAGCAAAACTGTTGATTCAAGACACGTTAGACAGTAATATATCTGAGGATTTTTTTCAAAGTATTATTTACTTTTTGAAGGCCTCGCTTTGTTTTGTATGCTCCTTAATTAGCGCTTGCTTTGCTTTAGTAGAGTTCCTATAAAAATTACTAAACAACTAGTTTAAAAAAATATGTGTTGACTTTTTAGTTACCGTCCCAACTAATTAGTTTCGTTTGTTATTACTTTTTTATATAAAAAGAAACGGAAACGAATGATTGATGATAGTTAATTTTTCAAGGCATACTTTTCTTAATTATGGGAATTGAGCATCTTGTTATGCAAAAAGGGATCAAACAAATCTAAACATTTGTCAAGATCTAAGCAGATTACCTTATCTCGTGGCTATAGTTGCATGGCGATGTACTCAAATATGTACTAAACTAAAATCTAGCCCCTGCAATTAAGATGTTTGATCCCAATTAAAACAAACGGCTTATTTGATTGGTCTGATAAAAAGTTGTGATTCTTCTAGAGACTGATAACATAATGCTTTAAATACAGATTGAACAGGAAAAAAGTTGAAAGCAAATATTTTGGAAGAATATGCTGAAAGTAGTGTATTTAGTGACAAGGAAAAAAATATATACAGGACATATGAAAGCAGCGCGTTCTAGTTATTAATTGCGTGTAATGACTTAATTTGGAGAAATCAGAATTAAAATTGGGTTTTATCAATTAAGAAATTATACAAAAAAAGGAGAAATCTGAAAACGTATCTAAAAATCTTACTTGAAATATTTATAAGGCAACTGAAACTTTTCATTTGTCGACGTTTCGACGATTGTGGTCTTCTTCAGAGATAATGAAGGATGTTTTTAATATTTAAATGTTAAAAAAATGAATATGTATCTTGCTGGTTTATATTAAATGTCATTTATTGTGAAACTGCTCATTACATATTGAAATTGAAAGGTAGGTAATTATTCAACCCGTTTGATGTAAAACTATAAATCTTCGAGACGTAGATCTTTCTATTTAGTACGGTCATACAGAGATAGAAAATTAACGATTCTGACATTTACAAGAACATTTAAGTGAATGAATTTTACATAAAATTGTTTCGGCTTTAAACAAATCTCATTTTGAATCACGTAATTTTTTCAGTGACAGAATCAGTCTATCAGGAAGTGTTTCTCTCGTGAGATTATTTTGAAAAAATTAAGTCACTGTAGAATTAGAAGGAATCGTCAGCAGGCTGTAATGGTAAACGATCATATGTCCAAATTTAATAACGAATCGATTCATTTTTTGTTGATTAGGTACCGTATATGTAATAATAACCGACTTATCACTCTCTGAAGGTGATCGTTTATTTTTCGGAAAGTAAAATCGAACCTTTTACCGTAAAATAATGACAAAAGAACTAGCGGAGTTATGATGAATATAAAATGGTAATCTCATTTTTTCGGAGAAAAAGTCAATAATAAAATCTATGGCTTAACAATAAAAATAGAAACTAAGAGTAATCCATGTCCAATTGACTTTATTTAGGTATCAATAATAGCTCTGCAAGTTTGACCGGTTTAGAATGCCTAAATTTAAAAAAAGTGAAATAATGAAAAAAAAATTTTTAGTTTTTAAAAAAAATTCCTTCTTTTCGAAATAACTCAAAAACTAAACAAGATACGTGAAAAATGCAAGAGTTCAAAATTAAAAGTCTTTTTTTATAATATGTTTGCTCTCTTTCAATTTTTCTGTAGAGCAAAAATTAACAGAGATATTACGTTTTTCAGTTTACATTTGCGTGTAAATACCACCTTCTTTATCCCCTTAAAACCTAAAAACCTCGAAAACGAAGAGTTCAAGACCTTTCAACTATAGAGATTGATTTGTAGCACTTGCAATTACCTGCAAATTGCTTTTTGGAGCGATGAAAAATATTAAAAATTAAAAAAGTTATCGTGAAAAAACGAATTGTATTATTTAGTAAAAATTGTCGGATCGTGTAAAGGCTTAATTTCCGATAGTTTTCGAGGCGTAATACACGCACATGTGTAGATATATTGTAACAGGTAGAAATTGACTTAAGAGTTTTTATTATAAAATACATCAAGTAATGACATACTGGATAGATGGTGACGAAATAGTAATGATAATTTGGGTGACAGTTAGATGAAAAGTGACAGTTCATAATAAAATGTAAATTTTGATGAAATCTCAGTCTAAATTAATAAAAAGTGTCCATAAATTAATGGAATTTAGCAAAAGAAAAATAAAATGGTATTGAAAATGTTAAATTTGAAGTGTATAAAGTAAGTAATAATCTGATTGGTTGAAATTGAAAAGTATAGATTAAGTTATAGATAAAAGTGTAATTAGATATGAGTGCAGTGATTTAAAAAAATTGGCGGTTATCAAGGAGACGGGGCAAAAAATAAATAATAAGAATCAATAAGTAAGAAGAGGAATTAGTAGATATAAAAGTCAGAACAATAAAAAGAAGATTAAATAAGAAGTGAAATAAATTATAGATGACTAAAAGAAAACCATATAAATCACCAGAGGAAATCAATTGCTGAGAAGAATTTAAAAAAAAATTAAAAAAGCACAACGTTATTGCGGTACATTCAAGAAACGATAAAGAAACAAGAAGAGAACAGTGAGAATTAAGAGTTAGGAAAGAACAATTTGTTTGGAAGAAAGAAAAATTAGGGTAAAGTCAAAATTGACAGATAACTATTAGTCCAGACGTATCTGTTTCAAAAAGTCGATATTTAGGTGAATCGTATATCCACGGAGATTTTTGGCTTTTTGGCTTTTAAATATCACTAGAAATGAAAATTTTTCTATGCGCATAAAAAACGTAGGCTTAACTTTTGGCTGCACAATATGTTAAAAAAATCGAAAAATGTCATATTTTTCTTCCTATTTAATTATGTATCTTTTCAAGAGTTGATTTTAGGCGAAAATGGAAGAGGAAAAAAATGTTTAAAAAAAAATCAAAATCTGACCACCACCACCAGTACGATTTTCTTGAATTTATCGCTTGCATAAACAACTCTAAACACGTTTTAAAGTAGGTTGCTAATGAAGAAAAGTATTACAAACTTAGACCTGGTAAGTACCCGGAATACCAAAGGTATTTTTCGAAAAATTTGCCCGGATGTCACAGTACATTTAGTGTAAATGACGGTTAGCTTTGATCGGCTATAACTACGTAACTAATTGACCATTCGATCTGTTTTTTTTTAAAGAAGCGTATTTCCAATAACTTAAAACCTGCTTTAAAAAAATTTGATTTGATTGAATATTCACAAAGTTATTCTAATTGTTTATAAATACAAAAATTCGACCAATGTTTAAACAAGCGCCAGAGCTCTCCTAGTTGACGGATTCGAATTTTTCAAAAAGCTTTTGAAAGCCTGAGAGCCCTTCTATATGTGATTAAATTTTCAAGTATCTAAGGGCCTTGGTTTTTGCTGTGCAAAATTTTGAAAATTTGCAAATTTTTTTTCAAAACTTGGATTGTAAAATTATTATGCAAAATCTATCGAACCGATTTTGATGAAATTTGGTGTGATGATTCTACATAACATGAAGTTTTCTTGAGCCAAGTGTGAAGGTCCTATACCCAATTTAAAGACCCCAAATAATTCCCTAAAAATTAATGTTTTTTAGCCCCATTTTTGACGATTTTTTCGATTTTTACGATAATAATCATGATTCATTCGATTGGTAACTGGTGTTATTTTGTAAAAAAAATTAATTACAAACATTTTTTTCCCTCTTCCATTTTCGCCTAAAATCAACTCTTGAAAAAATACATAATTAAATAGGAACATTTTTCGAATTTTTTTAACATATTGTGCCGCCAATAGTTAAACCCAGGTTTTTTTATGCGCATAGAAAAATTTTCATTTCTAGTGATATTTGAAAGCCAAAAAGCTAAAAATCTCCGTGGATATAAGATTCACCCAAACCAAAACAGATACCGAATATTTTAGTCTATATCATTTTATAATTATTTACGGTGAAACAGTTTAAAATTTATTTTAGACTCACGTTTATTGGGAAAAAAGTCTTATTTTGGTCTCAAAAATAAGCCCCTAAATACTTTGTACTGAATTTTTTATAGTCACAATTACAATATTTTGCTGCATAAAGTTAAGGACTTGCACATTGCTTCCTTCAAATATAAAATCAAAAAATATTTTCCGAGTCATTGATTTTATTCTGCAGATTTTAGCTTGTACATTTCTTATCACAATATTTTATAATGGATTTGTCTTATACTCATTGTTAATTTCACTACGAATTTTAAGCTTCGTGAGTTTTAATTTATTTTTTACTTAATTTTTTGTCTCACTTTTATTTTTGTAACTTTAGTTTTTGTATCAATTTCAACTTGTTACAAACATAACGCGTCGTTTAACGAAACAAAAAACCCGATTTAATTAACAAACCACCCTCAATCGCCACCAACACGTTCGAGGACCTGAAAAATATGCCCACTTACACCGAGATCCTGTGGTCGTCCTTGCTGAAGCCCATGTCCTGCAGGGGGATGATATCCAATGTCAACCGGTTGACCACGAAGCCGTCGAATCACAGTCGAGAAATTTCAGGTATCGGCGAGAAATTTCAGCAGACGCTGAGGCTAGTCACTGGGTCTTTGAAAATATTGAAAAAAAAAAGCTCGACGAGTGCGGTGCAGGTTACCACAACCGGTGAAAGAACAGAACTGAACCTACCGCCAAACCGGACCGACATTTTGTAGTTGCGGTCACGTGGCCGCCGGTTACGTCTGCCACGGAATCCCGAGGAGCTCCAGAAGTCGACACTGTCGACAGCAGAAACGCGATCGTCACGTGAGGATGTTGTTGGATCCGCAAGTGGCTGGTCGCTCCGACGGAGATTGCTTGCGGCCGGGAAACCGAACTTTGCCTTCGCCTTTCAGTGTTGTTTAGATGTTTTCCTAGGTGTTTTCATATAAATCACGTAGGCGATGAATAACAATGTTATTTCCCCGACTACCTGATCGGCTACATACCAACAAATAATAGAGCGCACATCATCGAGTCGATATTTTGTTGATAAATAACATTTTGCACTTTACACATTTAAAGTGCTGTTTAATCCCTCGATATAGGCACTTTTAATTTGTCGACACTTTATTTTTAGCTCTTTGTTGATTTAAAGTGCTGTTTTAATCCCTACCTTCAAGTATTAAAGTGCCACTTACAATTAAAATTGCTCCTTATTCCTCAAAAAGGAAGGTAGTACATTTTAAATAAACAAGTATTACAAAAAGCAACAAGAACAAATAATATAGGTAACTATGTTCTTCTGTTACCAACATGAACATAAGATTAACAAATAATGTTCTAGTGCGATATTAGCGGTTCTACCAACTGTACAGAGGGTAGCGAATAGCGATAAAAAGTGCACTTTGTTCATTTAAAGTGTCGTTTTAATCTTTAGGTTCAGGTATTAAAGTGACACTTAACAATTAAAAGTGCTCCTTATTGCTCAAAAAGGAAAACAGTTCATTGTAAATAAATAAGAATAAGTATTGCAAACAGCAATAAGAACAAATAATATAACGATGTTCTTCTGTTAGAAACATGAAAATAAGATTAAAAAATAATGTTCTATTGCGATATTAGCAGTTCTATCAACTAAACAGAGCATAAAAAGTAATATAACAAACTCTAAGTAGCCATATAAATATGCACTTTGTTGATTTAAAGTGCAGTTTGGTCCCTTTCAAACAGTGGTATAATTTTTAATCAAAACGGCAGATTTTAGTGCTCAAGTTTTAAGGATTAAAACAACACTTTACAAACCTTGCGTAAGCTCACATTGTTGCAATAATCGACTTAGTTTACTAAATTATTCTCAACTGTAACATTTTTCCAAATCACGCACCTTTTCAAAATGCAGAAACTAAAGTTCTGAATACTGGACATTCATAGTGACTATAAGGGGTGTAAAATATAACTTGCATTCCTTAGCTCGATATGAATGTGAAAATAGTATTTGTGCACTTGATGATTTAAAGTGCCTTTTAATTTCTGGTATCAAACAACATAGGGCTACTTTTAATAAAAAGTGACAATTTATTCCTCAAAAATATCTAACAGAATGGTATTTTCTAAAGAGGTATTACAAAATTAGCTACAAAAGAAGCAGTTCATATTCGTCATTTACATTTTTTGTGAAAAATAGGAAAGTAAGTTTCAGAAACTAGGATTTCAGGACAATACTAAAGATTAAATATCTAGCAACTATACAGTGTAAAAAAGTGATATAACGTACTGCGAAGGTTCATATTAATAAGAAAATAGTATTTTTTGCATTTTTGGTTTAAAGTGCGTTTTAATTTCTAAGTTCATAGTAAGTTATCACTTTTAATAAAAAGTGACACTTTGTCTATCGAAAATAACGACTGAAACTGTACTTTAAGGAGCTAAAAAGTAGCGGAACAAATAATAAAACGACATGAATTCGAGAATAGCATGTTTGCACTTTGTTGATTTAAAGTGCTGTTTCAATCTTTAGGCAGTAAAATGTCATGTTTAATCCACGGGTAGGTATAGTCTTTCCGAAGTTAGTTGAACATGTATAAAATGCCTAGCAATAAAATTCATAGGCGTCCCTAAAAAAGTTTTCTGCTTTATTAGAAATTATAATAATTTGTATATAATGTGTAGAAAATTTCTATTATATGTTCATTTGGTCAACAACATATTTTAATTATTTATGTTCTCAAATAATTTTATTATACTGATGGTAAATTTCGTTTTGTTCCGTTTCAAAAGATCTCCAAAATGTCATGTAATAATATTAGTAAACAAAATATACCTCTTATTTCTCCCTTTCGCAATTGTAATATGAATGATTAATAGAAGGTGCCTGCAATAAATTAAAATTACCTGAATCACACCAAATTCCGCATTACTGCACTGCACTGCTAGACAAGTTGTCAACCACTTATCAACAACTGAAATTTATTGCCCAGTCGTCTAGTACGCAGTAACTAAAACACCATTTCTATGGAATTTAAAAAGAATATAAAGATATTCTTAGAAGCGACTGAACCGCAATGATTCTTTGTTACCTAAAAATGTTTAATTCATTTCTCACACTACTTTCTGTAACAGTTCTTTAGTAACTCGCGGAAATTGTCACTTTTGCTAATTAACGTAGTGTCCTCCAGACACCTCGTTTATTTCTTGTTGATCGATGGCGCCTTATAAACAGGTATGTCACAGTTTGTCCTATTTAATTTTTCAAACAGTTGCATTTTAGTTTTGCGTTTTGCTTAGTTTACTACCATCGAGATCTCCAAAGTAGTTGCTAAATTTGATATTTCGCTGAGCACAGCTTACTTTTTTCAAATTGGAATATATTTATTTAAATCTGACAAAGGAAGTAGACATGACAATCGAGTTGACATGACACTTACCAGTTTCATAAGAATACATCGAAACTGATTTACTTTTGTTTGCTGACGTTTCCGAATTTACCGTCACGGCGATATTTATATTCAGTACGAGTAGTATAAACGATTAGCGTCGATTATTTACCAATTAACAAATGTTATTGAAATCGATAAACTAAAATAAAACATCAACAAATACAGTGATGAGTCAGGTTGAAAGCTGACGAACTTTAGAAATGTACAACAGAAATAATGTATGTACAGTTGAATTAACCTATTTTTTCTACTTGTATATGCAAAAGTTAGGATTTTGTTACGGCTTACAATTAGTCAAGGCCAGATTTATGATTGCCGTAATCAAAATACTAAACTAAACTTGCATGGATTTTCTTTTCAATTAACTTGATTTTGACACAAATTGTTTTGTAGGCACCTAAGTATTTAAAAAATCGACACTGTACTTGCCAAATGTCATGTGACAGCAGCAATTTAAAATGATAGTGTATGTGTTGCTATATGTCTTGTGACATGGTTTGCTTCTTTGTTTCTGTCGAAATACTAATTTATGCACTTTTACAAAGAGTGCTTTGAAGACAAATAATCCAAGTTTACTTTAAATAAAATTTGGACAGTTCAGTTGAATTTTCGTTGACAATGTCAAAGTTCAGGTAATTAAAAATATAACTTTTGCGTGAAACAGATATATTTATTTATTTAATTAATATTAAAGACGAATTCACACAATGTTCGAATTCGAAGAAAAATCTTTTATTCCTGTTCTAAAGTCACCTTTGACAGCGACCATCACGTATTTATAGCCACGATATCTACAGTGTGTCCACGGATTGAGTGCACGTGGCGTGTAAATGACAAAAAGTTTTCGAGTTGATATTTGAGCTTTTGGGCATCATCCCTGCTTGTTTTTAAAGTAAGAAGTTGAAAAAATTTGTCCAAATAATTAATATACAGGGTGTTTTTACGATGAATTTTGATTATCAGACTGTCAATTTTCAATTTGATCGGCCAACTTTGTTTTTTATTATTTTTCACAACCACGAAGTACAAATTCCTAATTATTTATTAGAAAAAAAAAACGTAACTAATATAATAAACATAAATAAACGAATAATATAAAGGTTATTCAAATGTGCTGCCACCAACCATTACAAATCGCTCAACGCGCTTTGTAAATTCCGTGTAGGCGTTTTGGATTTCTTGAATTGGGATGGCATTAATTTTGTATCTCTTATTCTTCGTTTCAATTCAAATAAATCGTTAATCAACGGGGACCCATAGAGTTTTTACTTGTTTTTACCCCATAAATAAAAGTCCATTGGAGTTAAATCAGGGCCTCTAGGATGCTAAGGAATTGAGCCATTTCGCCCAATCCATCGCCCACGAAATTGACCATCTAGCCATTCTCGGACGATTCGCGTTAAATGCGCCGAGTGTCCGTCGTGTTGGAAGTCTATCGTTTAGAGGCGTATTATAATCCGGGCGAATTAGACCAGACACATGCGTGCTTCAAAAATCGGGCCCAACACGAATTTTATGGGCTTATAATTAAGTAAAAAAATACACAGAATAAAAGCCTTTTGTGTATTTGTAGAGATCGAGAGTCATATTGTTTATAACAAAAGTCAATAATTTTTTTGAAACAAATGTTCAGTATTCTATTTACCATGCTCAGAAGAGGTCGAGGTATAAAATTTTGTCTTAAAATTATCTGTTACAGTTATTGCGTAAATTGTGTCTAGAATATTAGAAAATTTTACAATATCAACATTACATATAAGTACTGCATTTTATGGTATTTAAAAGAACTGTTACATTCAATTCTACTACATTTTATTCGATGAATTGTATTGCTAGCGAATGTAGTTTTTTTTTAATTTTGAATATTGACAATCTGACATAACTTTTAATTCTCAACGAGTTTTCTAAGTAATTGATATTTTTAAAGGTACTTTATTCTTGACAATTTTTGAAAATTCATCGTAAAAAGATCCTGTACATTAATTATGTAAATGGACTATTTTTTTCAACTTTCCAGTTTAAGACCAAACACGGATGATGCCCAAAAGCTCAAATTTCAACTCAATCCGTGGACATACTGTATATATCGTGGCTGTAAATACGTGATGGTCGCTGTCAAATGTGACTAGAGCAGGAATTCTTTCAAATATTACATTATTTAATGATCTCAATACATTTTTAGAAACATTTTTAGAAATGGCTTAATAAATATTTTTCTTTTACGTGAAAATTGCGTTTT